TTCCTGCCTTGAGGAGCTGGCACTGTCACAGTTGAATAAGATCATATAGAGATTGTCTCCAGACTTCTATTTCCAGAACTCACCCCTCCGTCTCCATGGCTGCCACCTCCACCAAGCTGATACCCACTCCTTTCACTCTGACCCCTGTGGCAAAGGCAAGCTCAGCCAACTTTTTACTATCGTGCCAATCACTGTGCTAAATGTACATTTATTATCTCATTAGATTTTACAACACTCTGAAGGATGGATGCCCTTTCCTAGCCCCAATTTATAAGCGAGCACACTGAGGATATGCGGAGTTGCACAAGCCGGGGAGTTGCAGAGCCTGTCCTTGATCCAGCTGAGCCGTTCTTCCTTGCCATTTCGGGCAAGTTCTTTTCTGCAGTAAATTGCTTGGGTCTTCTTACCCTTTATCTCTTAAGCTTGCTTTAAGACCAGATTCAGTTACAAGTCACGGGAAGACCAAAATCACAGAGACTTAAAAAGAGAGAAGTCTGGGCCTCCCTAGTGATGCAAGGGGTTAAGCACCACACTATGAAGCAATCCACAGCCTCTGCAGCCCGAGTTCGATCCCCGGTCAGCCAGGGAGCAACCCACATGGCGCAGCAGACCTATCCTGACTTGCCCCGCTGCTCCCCACAGCAGTGAATTTCAGTCAATCTGCCTGTTCTGTTCCCTACTCTGGCTCTGGTGAATCCTCTCACCGCCCCCCCCACACACACCTCTGGCCTGTACCCCAGCTCTTATATGCATAAATATATAAATCTTTAAAAATGAGAAGGAGAGAGAGAGAGGTCTATTCCTCCCTCATGTAAACATGCAAGTGGGCCAGCGCTGGTGTGCTGCTCTGGGATACAGGCACCTGTTTCTGGTCGCTCTGCTGCGTGTGGCTCAGGCACACACGGAGAGCTCAAATGCGCTCAGGTGTAGGGTGTGCGTGACACAGCCCAGCACTGGTAGTGTGTGAGGAGCTCATCAATAAAAATAACAGCTCCATTTAATTGTACTGTTCACTCAGGGAGACTCCCACCACCTTTGTTCACAGGTCTAACAACTACACTCATCCTGGTCTGGCTCTCTAAGCCTGGAGCATGTCATCCTAGGAGTGCTTTGCCCTCCCTCGGCCTAGACCTTGTGCTTCCCCAGCCCAGAGCAAATATATCCTGAAGCTAAGAAAGCCCAGAAGTCATTGTGCAGCCCCTTCCAAGGGGCATTTTTCTTTTTTTTTGGGTAAAATTTGCAAAGGCATGTATTTCAACTGCAAATGTGCATCACACGCTCCCTTCTGCAATGCATTAGTGGCTGTTGTCCTTTTGGGATCTGAGGAAGCTGGATTGCAGATCATTTAATTGGTTGGTGGGGTATAAAGTTCTGGTCACTTTCTTGGGCAGGATTCATTGCCTGCCCTCACAAAGTCAGAGTGGCTCTGGGACCACTCCTCCCACTCAGTGGCTGACTCACAGCGAGGTGACCAAAAGGAGCAAGGCCAGAGGTGGTATCGGAAGGTGAGGCTGGTCTATGCACCCACCACCAGAAGCACATGGCAGGTGGGGGCGTAGGTATTAGGTCAGACTTGTACAGATCCAGAAGCTCCTCTGTGGAAAGTTGTTGCAATTATCAAAACTAAACATTTTGAAACAAAACATTACCTTCTCATCATGCCTTAGCAAAAGTGAAGGGTTTTTTCCTGTCAGAAATAAATGGATAATACAGTGTTTACAATTATAAATGCCCGTGCTATTTTGTTCTTTAATAGAATAGAAGCCATATAAACAGATTTTACAAGAATCCCTGTATTTGTGGAGCACTATGTTATAGTAACAGTATTTCTGTGCGTGAATTCATGTTTTATGCATCCTGACAAATGAAGATCGCATCTGAGCTTATCTGAAGCATCCTGTCGTGATGCAGTTTGGCAGTTCAAGAACAAATAGCATCCATCAAGGAAGAGAAATGATGAGTGCATATGAATAATGCAGAGTTATACCAGGCGGCTAATAGTAAAGACAGTCATGCCATTTTTCTGAAATTTGTGACATTTGTGCTATTTTCATTTTTTTCAAGTTTGTCATTTGTTGAGATTTGTTTCCTCATCATAAATAATCATTTTTATACCTGATTTTTCTCCATGTGACTATCATTTTTCTTAAGATGATTCACTCTAACCCCACACACATGTATTCACTGCTCTCTGTTTCATGCAATTTTAAGAAGACACCTTAAGCATCTTCCTGAGAAAAGGTATAGGGGTGAGTGTCTCTGGGTTTAAAAAAACTTTGTTGCCTCTTTGTTTTAGATCTTAGATGTCTAAAGGTACCTTACCCATCAATTGGTGGATAGCATTCTAAACTGAAAGATTTTTTTCCTTTAGAGTTTCGATAGCATTGCTTCATTGTCTTCCAGTTGCCAGCACTGCTGTTGAGAAATACAAAGAGATTTTGATTTAAATGCTTTGATTGAGACCCATTACTGGCCTCTGAAAGCCGTGGGATTTTCTCATTGTGCATGGATTTTGAAATTTCACCCTAATGGACCTTGATGTGAACATATTTTATCCATTGTGCTAGACACATCATGAGTCTGAATCTAGAAGCACATGCTGTTCAGATCTGGGGAGTGTTCTGAATTGTGTCATTGATGATGTCTTCTTTGTTTCATCTACTCTTTCATTCTGGGAAATTCATTATTTAGATGTTGGATCTCCTGAACTGGACCATTTTCTTAACTTTTATCTCCTATTGTTTATCTCTTTGTCTTTCTTCTCTACTTTCTGGGAGATCTTCTAACCCTTCTGTTTATTTTTTATTTCTATAAATTTTAAAAATTCCCAAGAACTCTTTCGTGGTTCCCTGAATATTCATTTTTTTTTTATATCCTATTCCTGCTTCATAGATGCAATGATGTCTGCTAGCTATGGAAGCTAGCAATTGCTTTGTTTTGATATCGTCTCCTCCTATAGTCTCTTTCCTCTGGGTTTGGTTTTGTTTTGTTTTGTTTTGTTTTTCTGATTGGTTTGTTGGTTGATTTAGACTCTATCATGTTAGACTGTCTTTCCTCAAACTGTCTTGAAACCCTGATGGGTCACATTTAAAAGTGAGAGATTAAAAAGTTGAGTAAGTAGAGCTCATGGTAGGGACCTGTTCACCTCTTGATGGGGTAAATGTACATATCTTTACGTCTTTCCTCTTGGGCTGGTCAGATTCTCCAGAAGAGTTTCCATCCCTGGTATGGATGATAAAGGTCTCTCTGTCACATATCAGGGGAGTGGCGTATGGGGAGAAAGGGGGACATGGCACATATTGAGTCAGGTGACTGGGGAGCTCAGCATTTGAAATGCTTATACTCCTTTTATCCACCTATATTTCCGACTGCTTCCTAGGTTGCCAGCCATGCCTCCACTCCTCAGCTAACTTCCTTTGGTTAACCTCTCCAGAAAACATTTCAGACTTCTGGGGTGAGGGAGGGGCAGCTGCCCAACCAAGAGGAATAGAGATAGTTTTCAAGGCTCTAACTACAGTACTTCTCAGACACCTCTCTTCCAGGCTTTCTTCTTTTAGATCCTCCATTGTCCTCTAATTCCAGAATATTTTGTGCTGCCAGTCAGCTCCTAAGGTTTGTTGTTACCGTTGGAAATTCCACAGTCTAAATCACGCTGTTTCTGTTTTCCTTACTACTGACTTTCAGTTCTGTTCTCCCCAGGCTCCTAAGACAGTTATACCCTGCCCATCTGCTTTCCAGGCTCTGAGTGGATTTTGCTGTTGTCTTCTGTTTTCCCCATTTTTGTACACATTGTCTTTGTTTGAATATCTGTTTTGCAGGGTCTCTGGAAGGGTCAAAATAAAATGGAGCAATCTGTTGTAAAATTCACCCTTCAATCTATCATTTTTCTCTGACAACAGACTGTGGCTGCCTGGATTTCTTTCCAGTTCATAAATAACTTTTTAAAAAATGACTCCTTCCATTCAGCCATGATTGTAAAGACACTTCCACACCTTGGCAATGCACTGTGCACGCCACGCTCCACCCCAAAAACCAAAACATCACCTCCAGACACCTTAGCCCCAAACATGCAGTTGGGTTGTCAGGCAGGGGATGCTAAATGCCTCCCTATCAGGAGCCCAGCTCCACGGATCCCACAGCCTCACATATTGGACATGTAGCTCCATTTTCAAGTCAGGGACGGGTCGCCTGAACCCACTTAGGTTTCTTCCCTTGGCCCTTTCCTGGTTTCTTCCCTTGGCCCTTTCCTGCTTTCATTTTCTATCGCCTTCCTTCCTCAAAATTCTAACTAAGTAACTCCGTTTGAGGAAACTTCTCTGCTCTTAAGCTGGCCTCTAAATTACTGGCCTGGTGAATGTGGCGAGGCAGCTTGAGAAATTCAGCAAGTGTGTTTCCTCGCTGATGTGGAAGGCTTGCTGTAAGAATTAGAAAACCTCAGGTGCCGCGCCAGGAGCCTGCCAGGCTGGCCGTCGCGCGGGGAGCCGCTGTCGCCCTGGCTTTCAAGTCCAGGAGCCTCTGGCCCCAGGCGCACGGCAGCGAAGAGCGCACAGAGGAGACCCGGGGGGTGGGGAGCCGCAGAAAGGGCCTCAACCGGGCTTCCTTCATCTCCCAGACAGCGACAGGGAAGGGGCGGCGAGCTGGCTTCTCCAGGGGCGACCTTTGCGCCCGTGGACAAAACACCAGATTATTCTCAGCCTTGTGCGGACGGACTAGCCCAGAAAGGTGGCGACAAGTTCCCGCACCCTAGACGTGAGAGGCGGGTGCTGGGGCAGGAAGGGGAGGAGGCAAGAGAGGAGGGGACCGGCCCGGCCAGCTCGAGCTCCCGCGGCGCAGGGCGGAGCCGGGCAGGTCCGCCCGCGCAGGTGAGCTGGCCCGGGAGGAGCGGAGCGGAGCGGAGGGGAGCGCTGCGCTGCCGGTGCCAGGCTCGGGCGCCCGCGGCCCCCGCTCCGAGCCACGGGCCACCGTCTCTGTCCCCGCCGAGGCCGAGGCGCCCCGGAGCCATGGCCGGTCTGAATTGCGGGGCCACGATCGCGCTGCTGGGGATCCTGCTGCTGGGCGCCGCGCGCCTGCTGCGCGGAATGGGTAAGTGCGGTGCGGCGGCAGCTCGGCGCCGAGCGGCGGGGACGGCCCGGGAGACCCGGAGCGGCCGAAGGGACGCAGAGTGCGAAGGCTGCAGAGCTGGGAGGGTGGGGTACGCGGACCGCGCGGTCGGGGGCGCAGGATCCCCGGAAGCGCCCGGCTCCAGGGCGCGCCGCGTCGGGCGCGGTGGCCACGCCGGGCAAGGTGGCCGTACCTTCCTGGATTCCGAACGCACCTCGCCCTGGGAGCACACCGCGCCACGTGGGAGTGTCTCCGCGCCGGGAACCGGCGATCAGGGACAAGAGCCGGGTGCTGACCGACAAGGAAAGGAAAAATGCTCCCGAGGTGGCGCGCCGCTGGCTTCGGGGCTTTACCTGGATTCGCAGGAGCGCCCAAGCAGGGACTGGGGAGGGAGCGTCCCTCTATCTCCTCCCCTAACCAAGGAGAAAGTGCCAGAAAACGGTGGCTTAGGGCCCCGGATGTCCCAGGAGACCACCTCTTTCCTGGTCCTCCGTCTCTTTTCCTGCTCTCCTCAAGTTGAGGAACATTAATTCGAAAATGAAAGCGCTAAATAGAAGGGCGCCAGGGATCGGAGCCAGGGAGGCTCTATGCTCCCCCTCACCTGTGTGCAGTGGACTCTGACAGCACAGGGGAGGGGGCAGAGGGCATGGTCCAGAGATGTGTGTGAATTTCGAGCTATTCTTGCTGGGGGGCGTGGGGCTAGAGGTCGGTAGGTGCCTCCTGTACCTGCGAGGCCCTGGAAGTATTAAGATACAGTACATGGCCTGCTTGTAAGAACTTGATTTGAGGCCTTTCCTGAAACTCTGGGAAATGTTTGAGGGGGTCACAGTGGCCTGTGATAACCGGCAATCTTCCAGTAAGAGTAAGCTCTAATAAACGCATTGCTCACAACAAAAACGCATTGCTCACAACAAAAATGAGGGTTGGTCCTCAACTGGCTTCTGTTACATGTCTGGTTTCTCCTGGTGGCCTGGAGAGGCTGCCAGTTTAGTCACCAGTTGCTCAGATGGATTTTCTTCCTACCAGGTAGTTCTCGACTATTGGAGCCTGGTTGGTGGTTGGGTGTAAAATAGGAGGAAGCCCAGGAACTGCTCTTTTCACTTTCTTAGATCATTCCTGTGTTCTCAGGAACTGGCCCTGGGAGGCCTCATTGCCAGGCTGGAGGGAGGGTTATGGCTTTTGTATTTGAAGCAACAATGGCTTTGCCAAAGCCGTGGAGGTGGCCTAACCAGTGGTGGCCTTTGAGAAGTTACTTAGAGTCTGCCCTAAAAGGATGGAGAAAGTTGGAGAGAGCCCTGTGACTGGGGATTTGTTTTACAAATCCTTGGACTGTCTTAAAGACTGCAGCATAAAAATGAAGTTGGTGTCTGCTGAGCAGAGGGGTGAAGCTCAAGTCTCAGTGTAGTGTGTTTCTGTGAGATTGCTCTCCCACCAGCTCCAGAACTTCCAAGAATGAAGGACTGCTTGAGTTGGAATCACAGCCTTGTGAAAACCTCAGTTTAGTGGCTTTTCAAGGAACTCTTGGATACCAGAGTCTAGGTCAGTGACCCTGTTCTCGCAAGAAATGTGAGCAGACATCAAATGATGTGTTTACTCATCCTGGCTCATCCCCATGGCTAAGGCTGTCCATCTGAATGACTAAGAAAAGTTCATTCCCTTTAATTATCATTCTAAAATTATAAAAATTATCTCACAATCAAATTATTTCAAACCACTTCCTACAACCTTGTAATTAGCCCATCACCTTCTCCTGGGCAGCTGGCAACATTCTAGATAACCTTACAAGGAGAGCCGAGCTCCCTCTCATTTCTGTGTAGCTTTGGGTTTGTACTCAGTACTTCAGGTTTTTTAGTCCCTGGCTACAACTGTCATAGCAAACACATATTGTGTCTGTAGGGTAGTTTTAGACGTAAGCATCTCCCATATCTCATTGGTAATCCATCGCTGAAAAACATATTCTGCATGAAAATACTAGCCAGTGCCCTATTGCCTCTTATTTCATGGGGAAAAACTATTAACAGCCCATCCATTGTACAATGTCCTTGAGCTCCTCCAATTTCCAAAAGCATAATGAAAGAAGGAAAACACCCCTATGTCATGAATTATCAGTCCTGTTGAATGTAAAATGCAGAAAACCTCACTTCTAGACTGCCATGCTTCTTATAGGGATCTTTACACACAGTTGCTTTGTGCGTGTTAACACACTTGCTTTGTGTGTAGCAATTTACTGCAGACCTCCACCCCCTTTATTGATACTCCCCAGCTCCACTTCATCCTGGCACTATCTGGTGTGGAGGGTAATTTGAGACTTTGTGTACAACCTTTTGTTTAAAATGTTGTGTTATGTTTGGAGATGTAAACATACCTGTTTCCTAAGTAGACACTGGCCAGAAATAACTGGTGCATGTAACTTAAGTACAACAATGTTTGTGTAATAAAAACTAAGCTGCTTTCTCCTGGAAAAGTATAACTGGAGGAGGTGTGGCTGATTAAACCTGCTGGTCAACTCTCTATCCTTAAGTGAGGAGCATTGAGAGGTGTTGTCACTTGCCCAGGATTACCCAGCTGGTGTGTGGTGATGCTAAGATGGAGGCCCCGGACTCGGCCTCCAGAAGCCAGCTCCAGTGCACAGCGGAACTCTTGAAGACAGTGTTTGGTGGTCCTCGTTGAGACAGTAGCTGCACTCCAGACATCTTTCATTTAAAAAAATCAGCCAACGCTTACTGAGTGCTATCTCCATACTTGTTCTAGGAATGAGTATGTGTTTTAAATATTCAAGAAATTTTAAAACTGTTTAGGAAAAGATTTAATGATATATGATAACAAAAATTCAAATAACCCAAAGTGGTGTTAGGAGAGCACTTATATATTCCTGTGGTTATTGTGATTTATAAGAAGAAATTTTTTTTTTTTGGTCATTCTCCCTTCTCTAGCACAGAGCTTCTAAAACCCTAGGAGTTTCCGAAGTAGTAAAAAAAAAAAACGGAAGGTGTCCTTTGTTATGTTAAACTTTTGGAATGCCCCAGATCACCCAGGAATGGATGGTTGCCTGGAGAACCAAACTTGTGATTGAAAGGTTGGAATGGGGGTGGGGAGGGTTGGAGGCTGAATTGATTGCCTGTGGCCGGTGATTTAATCAATCTGTTATAGAGCAACCCCGATATTAAACGGGTTCCTGGCTGTGGGTCCTCACCCGCGCGCTTTAAAGGGACTTATGAATACTCTACTACAGACACACGCAAAAGGTTAATAAAAGGTTTATTTACAAGAGGAAAGGAAAGAAGGAAAATGTACAACTCGGAGAAAATAGGGAAATAAAGTCTTTAATGCGTCCTACCCGATCCGACGACCTGGAAACCCAAAGTCACTCTCAGAGCTGGCCGGCCGCTGCGAGCTGGCGGAGAGCCAAAAATGGGGGATCCGCAAAGCCCACGTGTCTGCCTTTTGTATCCACCTGGCTGCTTAACCCCACCCTCAGGTCCCAGCCACCTTCCCTTGGGTGGTGATGGGATTTGGAGTTCCCAGTGTCTTTGGCTTTGACCTGGGGTGGGGGTGGAGTCCACAAAGCCTATATGGAATTAGCTTTGGGACATCCTTTTCCCCCTAACAAATCCTGCCTGCTTAATGAAGCCTCCATAAAATCCCCAAAAAGGAAGGGGTTCAGAGATCTTCTGAGTTGGTGACCATGTGGAGGTACTGGGAGAATGGGGCTCTCAGCAGGCGTGGAGGCGCTGAGCTCTTTCCCTATCCCTGCCCAGTGAGTCTGGTTGTTCCTAATTCGTATCCTTTCATAATAAATCAGTAATCTAGTAAGTAAAATGTTTCCCTGAGTTCTTTGAGTCGCTCTAGCAAATTACCAGAACCCAAAGAGGAGGTCGAGGGAACCTCAGATTTATACCTAGGCAGTGGGAAGTACAGGTAACATCCTGGGGAGGGCAGGAGGAGTCACTTGTCATCTTGTAGAACTGAACTCTTCACTTGTGGGAACCTGAAGTATCTCCATGTAAATAGTATTAGAATTGAGCCAAATTCTCAGACACTCTGCTGACATCCAAGAATTGCTTGTTGGTAGTGTGGGAAACCTCCCCTCTATACACTGAAATTGGCTCCAGGAACCCAGAGAGTTCCCTTTACCCTTGACTCCAAACCTCCACTCAGAAGCAGCCATAGTTACTTCTACATTGTTCTTAAGCTAGTTTATGCAGATACAAGTTTGTAAATATATACACCTTCCTTCTTTACACAAATGGTAACATATGCATAGCACAGGATGTATGCGTCTTGATTTTTTTTTTTCAACTAGCAGTTCATCTTAGTGATCATTCTATTGCATATATGGAGCTGTCATACTCTTTCTGACAGCTGTATAATATTCCATGTCATGGAGATGTCATGTTATCTTCAACCAGCCCTTAGTAGTGGAATTTTGTAGTTTTTTGTTACTGTAAGCAGAGCTCATTGTCTTTGTAGCTGACTTTGTTAGATATATGGACAATTGGTAAAATTCTTATAGGAGGAATTAGTGGGTTAAAAGCTTTGTATAGAAGGTCTTAAGGAACAAATGGAGAAAAGTGAGTAACAAAGAAGTGAAGAAACTTGCCCATGGTCACAGCTAATAAGTGGGTGCTATCTGTGAATCTGGGCAATCTTATTTCAGAGTACAGGCTCTTAATCACCCCTCTGACCATAAATTCTAGGTGAGGGGAGAATGTTTTACTTTCCTTTTAATTATTCTCTTTTGATTTGCATATCAGAATGCCTTGAACACTTTCAAGAAGATGGGACAGGTGTGGGCTCTAGTCATTCCTCCTGTTTACATTGAGAAGCAATTGTTTCTTTTTATATTGTTAAGTCTAATAGTTAAGATGTAACATACTTTAAGCTTTTGTGACACACAGAACAAAAGCATGGGATAGCTCAAACACAAGAGATATTTATTTCTTGCTCCTGTAAGATACCAAAGAGGGTATCTATTCTGAACA